TCTCTATTTGCTTTTGTCAAACAGCCTCAATGTATTTGCCTTTTCTCTCAAAGACCTAGAAAACCTATACTGAAATAATAGTCTCCTGGTTTTTATGATTCTATAACCCTTATGAGGGAATAAAGAGGAACTACATTCACCCCAAGTACACAGTCTCTGTTGCTCTGTCACTGATTAAAACTTAAATGAGCACAACAAAACACAGACACTGTAACACATCTGATATTCTGATATTCCCAATATGTTACACAAACAGCAGACCTTTATGTTTAGTAAAATGTTCCATAGCCCCAAATATTGTACTTTCTCTACAAGTATTCACAGATATTTCTGCCTTTGGTCACAATCTGTGCCTGTCTCCATTAGGAAAGAACATATTGTACTTCTAAGAATAGATACCATTTCAGTCAAGTGATTTCCCCCCTAGTCAATAGGACATTCAGGGAGAGAAATCTGGAAGCCATTCTGGAACGTGGTAATGCAGAGGCAAGAGGACAAGCTTAGGAGTGCACAGTCCTAACTGCTCCAGAGAAATACAAGATAAGTGTGGGCACCTGGTAATCACTGGTGTCCTTTGTGATGACCATTGCAGCAGAACAACGGAGACAGAAGCCAAGTATCAGAGGCAAGTTTATGAAGACAGAATAAGTTATATGTTAAGCTAAATAAGCTCTTTACAGACCTGTCCTAATGGTCATAAAGCCCAAAGCCAGGAGGGTTGGCAGAAATGGTTTCTTGAGAAATTTTTAACAATTCTGCCACAGAGACAAGACAAATACACTTTCTCCTAAGATAATTTGAAACTATTGCCAAGAAATAGGCTCAGATGCAAACTCAGAAGTGTTTGCTACTTTAAAGACTGTTGTTGTTAGGTGTCATCAAGTCAGTCATGACTCATGGTGACCCTATGCACAACAGAACAAAACACTGCCTGGTTCTGTGCCATCCTCACAACTGTTGTTAAGTTTGAGCCTATTTTTGCTGCCAATGTGTCAATCTATTCATTGGGCCATCTTGCTCTTTTTCACTGACTCTCCACTTTACCAAGTATGATGTCCTTCTCCAGGGACTGGTCTCTCCTGATAACGTTTTCAAAGTATAAGAGACACAAAGGCTCTCCAGCCCTGCTTCTAAGGAACACTCTGGCTGTACTTCTTCCAAGACAGATCTGTTTGTTTTTCTGACAAGTCCATGATACTTTCAATATTCGTCTTTAATTCTGTAATTCAAATGCACTGATACTTCTGAGAATTCTTGATTCACTGCCCAACATGACATACATATGAGGCAATTGAAAATAACCATGGCTTGGGTCAGGAGCACCTCAGTCCTCAAGATAATATCTTTGCTCTTTAACAATTTAAAGAGGTCTTGTACAGTAGACATACCCAATGCAACATGTCATTTGATTTCTTGACTGCTGCTTCCATAAGTTTTGATTCTGGATCCGAGCAAAATGAAGTCTTATACAACTTCAGTCTTTACTCTGTTTATCATGTTATTTATTGGCCCAGTTGTGAGGATTTTCATTTTCTTTACAATGCAGTATAGTCCACACTGAAAACTGTAGTCTTTGATCTTCAGCAGGAAGTAATTGAAAGTCCTCTTTACTTGCAGCAAGCAAGGTTGTGCCATCTTCACATCATAGGTTATTAATGAGTTTTCCTCCAATCCTGATGCCATGTTCTTCATATATTTCAGCTTCTGGGATTATTTGCTTGGAATACAGACTGAATGTGTATGGTGAAAGGATACAAGCTTGGCACACACTTTCCTGATCTTAAATCATTCAGTGTCTCCTTGTTTTGTTTGGCCAATTAATTCTTGATCTATGTACAGGTTCTTCATGAGTACAATGAAATATTTTGGAATATCCATTCTTCGCAATGGCATCCATAGTTTGTTATGATCCACAAAGTCGAATGCCTTTGCATAGTTAATAAAACACTAGTAAACTTCTTTCTGGTATTCTCTGCTTTCAGCCATGATCCATCTCAATGCCAGCAACAATATCCCTCATTCCACATCTTCTTCTGAATTCTGCTTGAATTTCTAGCAGTTCCCTGTTCACACACTGCTACAATAATCGTTTAACTATGTTCAGCAAAATTTTATTTGCAAGTGATATTGATACTGTTCAAAGGTTTCCACATACCATTGGGTCACCTCTATCTGGAATGGGCACAAATATGAATCTCTTTCAATCAGTTGGCCAGATACTATCTTCCAAATTTCTTGGCATAGATGAGTGAGTGTCTCCAGTGCTGTATCAGTTTGTTGAAACATTTCAATTGGTCAAACATGTGTCAATTTCTGAAGCCTTGTTTTCTCCACTGCCTTCAGGGCAGTCTATACTTCGTCCATCAATACCATCAGTTCTTGATCATATGGTACTTATTAATATTACTGAACATCAACCAATTCTTTCTGGTACTGTGACTCTCTATATTCCTTCCATCTTCTTTTGATGCTTCCCACATCATTCAAAATTTTGCCCATATAATCCTTCAGTATTTCAACCCAAGACTTGAGTTTTTCTTCAGTTCTTTCTTAAGTGAGGTTGGTGTTGGTCACTCTCTTACTGTATGTTGCTTTTCCCGCATAGCATCTTGAACACAGCAAATTTTACACCTGAATGCCTGTCTCCGTCCCTCCAAGACTAGCCTTCTTCAGATGATAATACTGAAATAGCCAAATAACTTATTATTGGGAATTTATTATCACAAACAATATATATGGCCCATTATGTGGACTGATTGAATCATAGCTAGAATCCTGACATGAAAGGTTTTAAGAAATCAGTTCTAGAGAACAATTTGCTTTCCATAAGGAATAAGTTTGTTTCACACTATTACAAGAACTGTGTTAATATATTTATGTTAATTTATTTTCTGCATCTACATTGACCATAATCTGAACCAAATCTGAGGCAAAACAACAGATACTATCTGATTGTGTATATTTTCTTCTCTATTGTCTTAACTTTTCATTATTACTTGCATATTATCAGTATTTTATTATAAGAACTCAGTATCTTTTTTTCAAATGAGGTTGGGTGTATATGGGAGTAGTTAGTATAATTCACCTTTAAAAAAATTGTCAAAAGAGGAAGCAGATGAGGAGACAATGTGAGGGAAGAGAAAAGTCAAGAAAAGGCCTGGTTACGGGGCTGTTGAGAAGAGGAATAAAGAAGTGCACAATGGTCAAGGGAAAGAAACCAACAAAAAGATGGAATCAGCTTTCACACAAGACTGATGGAGCCAAGTTCTTGTTGAGGAATCAATAGAATATAGTTGGAGTCATTAAGGGAACTAGGTCTCTGTGTCCTATATCACGGTTGTTAAGTGCTACTAAGGAAAAAGTAGGTATCTTGGACATAAGAAAAAAAAAAAAAAAGTAATAGCATCAAATTACTGAACGTTTTCTCCAGTAGTAAATTTCTAAGATCATAATAGTGGTTTACTTATAATATTTTCCATTACCTTAATTAATGGAGTTCTTCCAAAGAAAAATCCGAAAAGGTAAGCAGTTATGTCATTGCAGATAACACTTGATATTGGAACAAGGAACCTTAAATAAATTTTAAAAAAGGTCAGCAGAAAAAAAAAATTCCATATGATTAAGTGGTAAATATTCATATATATATATAACTCATAACAACCCAGTGTGATAAGCCATTGACTTATACTTACTTCCGCCTAGTCTACGCCAAAAACACTAGTCAAAACAATGAACATCTACCAAATTTTTCCGTTAAGCAATTAAACCAAGCAAAATCTCTAAATAATTTAATACCACAGAGGTTATTGCTAAGGAAAATATTAAATAATCAACTTTTACAGTTGTGGGTAGTTAAGTTTCAGTTTTATGAAGAGCTGCAATATTATAAAGAGTAAAATAAAGTAAGGTTGAAAGTTTATCTTACTAAAAACAGCCTTTAAAAATGTAAATGAATTACTTGCAAATACCAAGTATACCTTGATAAATTTATACTAAATTCTTCATGCAATTTCTCTTTCAGGTAAAATGATCAATTTTAATTCGATCTTAACCTATAAATGCACTGAAACTCACTACTAACTTACTACTCTACTAAATTTTATCAAATACACAATCTTAAATGCACATCAATTAAAAGTTTGTATATGGAAAACAATCTTAACAGACTCTAATTCTTTATATAAACATACATACACACACCAAACTCTTGGTTAAAAAAAGTCAAGCTGTCAACAAGGCAATAACTAAATCTTGAGAAAACACATCAACTATGAAAGGTGTTTAAAAGGGCTATAAGGGAAAATGTAATCAGATTTTTTAAACTCTTAGCTTTCTTTCCAGGGCAGCCAGTGTTAGGTTGTTACGCTATATTAGGTGCTGTTGAGTCAGTTCCAACTCACAGTGATCCTATGCAGTACAAAAGAATGAAACACACCCAGTCTCTACACCATTCTCACAAGTCTTCCTATGTTTCCGCTCATTGTTGCAGCCACTGTGCTATTCATCTTGTTGAAGGTCTTTTTCTTTTTCACTAACCCTCTTGCCTTGCTGTGTTGTTGTGAAGTGCTGTTGAGTCGATTCCGACCCATAGCTACCCTGTATAGGGTTTCCGAGGAGCAGCTGGTGAGCTTGAACCGCCAACCTTGCAGTTCAAATGACTTTGCAGTCTGTCGCATTGACCCACAGCGCCACAACAGGACTCCAACCCTCTTGCCTAGTCAATACTAATTAAAATTGTATTTCTGAATCCTCAAACCACTGCTATAGCTCAAGCAACTCCATACATGCAAAATCTGGACACCTACTCCTCCATTCAAGCACAGTCAAACCTACCATGTTTTCATTGAAAGAAAATGCAGTTGTTTTGGCAATTAAAAGTTTTGTGTTCTTTTAGATCCCAATGTAAACAATATCCTCTCCTAAAAGGTTATGCTTTGTAAAAAGTTACATTAAGGTTTACTACTTGTCTGTCAGCGTGTCATACTGCTGTGGCTTGCATGTTGCTGTGAGTCTGGAAGCTACACCACTGGTATTTAAATACCAGCCAGGTCACCCATGGTGGACAAGTTTCAGTGGAGCCTCCAGATGAACACAGACTAGGCAGAAGGAGACACACAGACTACTTCTGAATATTTAGACACTGAAAACCTTATGATTAGCAGTGGAATGCTATCAGAGAGCACCAGAATGTTGTCAGATAGAGTGCAAGAAGACGAGCCCTTTAGTTTGGAAGGCACTCAAAATACGATTGGGGCAGAGATGCCTCCTCAAAGTAGAGTTGATGGTGATGACATGAATAGAATAATGCTTTAAGAACCTACATTTACTGATGGGGCACACTCCAAATGAGGAAAAACAACTATAAACATCCATGAATAATTGGAACATGGAATGTACAAGGTAGGAATCTAGGAAAACTGGAGTTGACAAAAATGAAATGGAGTGCATAAACATCAATATTCTAGGCATTAGTGAGCTGAAGTGGACTGGCATTGGCCATTAAGAATATGACAATCACAAGGTTTACTAAGTCGGGAGTGACAAATTGAAGAGAAATGGAGTCACATTCCTCATCAAAAATAACATTTCAAGAACACCCATACTTGCAGATAATACCCACTTGACCTGGCTTCAACGACTGGATGACCAGAGCTCAATCAGAAGAAGTAAGAAGAGGAAAAAAAGAGTAATCTGATACAACTTGATGAACTTGACCTACATCTATGGATGTAGTAGCTCAAAAAAGGGAACAAATCTTTATAGCGAGGTGCATTCCCACCACCTCCATACACAGAGCAGATAGGGATGAGCAATTTGGACACTGGCTACCCAAAGTGGGGGGCCTACAAAGGCAAGAAGTAACTGGCTTACAAGCGTTCAAGAGGGAACCTAGATCCAGAGGGCATGGAGGAAGGTAGTATCCAATCTGTCTAGGCAGAGCTGATGAAAGGAAATGTGGATAGGTCTCTTGTAATACAATGTGAATAATTGTTATCAGGACTGAATGTGAGGGTTGGAAATGTAAAGGCAGATGTTTTGTAGCAAGGAGGGGAGTGATTAACTTTGCAGTCTAGGACCAGAGGTCTCTGAGACCATCAAGGGAGAAGAGTAGAGAGTGGGACCCTACCCAGAGAAGCAGTAAGGCCTGAGATGGAGGCAGAGACGATGATGTGGGGAGATGGAGTGGCTGGAGACTTTAGACCCAGAAAGGGAGAGGGGCTGTGTGCTGATGGCCAGGGGGCAGGCTTGCAGGGTACACCCTTTGGTTGGTTGATGATGCATGGAGAGGATTGTAACCATGGTAATGAAATGATATATGCTAGGATGAATGTAAAACTAATGTTCTCCCATGTAAACTATCTCATAATTCACAGTAAAATATTAAAATAAATAAATAAGATCTATCTTGAAGTACAACCTGTCTGTGATAGGAAAATATCTATTTACCATTTACCATATACACCTACCAGAAGACCAGATAATACAACTATTATTCAAATTTATGCACCAACCACTAAAGCCAGCGATGTTGAAATTAAAGAATACTACCAACCTCTAGAAGTAGCTCTGGTAGTGTAATGGTTACGAATCGGGCTGCGAACTGCAAGGTCAGCAGTTTGAAACTACCAGCCGCTCCGCGGGATGAAGATGAGGCTTTATTGGAAACCCTGTACAGCGTTGCTATGAGCCGGAACCGACTCCATGGCACTTAACAGCAGCAACAACAATCAACCTCTACAATTTGAAATTAATCAAACATGCAATCAAGATGTATTGATAATTCCTGGCAATTAAATACAAACAAAGGTTGGAAATGAAGAGTAAGGATCAGTAGTTGAAAAGTACGACCTGGGTGATAGAAACAAGGCTGGAAATTGCATGATAGAATTTTGCAGGAACAATGACATTGCAAATACTTTTTAAAACAACATAAAAGAAGACTATATATATATGGACCTCGCCAGATGGAATACACAGAAATCAAATTGACAACATCTACGGAAAGAGATGGTAGAAAAGCTTCAGCCAAAACAAGGTCAGCAGCAAACTGTGGAATAGACCATCCATTGCTCATATGCAAGTTCAGAATGAAGCTGAAAAAAATTAAAACAAGTCCACGAGAGCCAAAGTATGACTTAAACATATCCCACCTGAATTAACAGATCATCTCAAGAACAGATTTGAGTGAGGCATGGTTTGAATGGGTAGAAGTGAGGAAATGATATTAAGATGTTTGGCTATCTTTTGAATCTTGGTTTCCCTTGCCTACTATTGTAAAATAGACACTTGAAGGGGAGAGAGAGGAATAGCCAGAACATCACCAGAGAAAGTGTGTAAGTCCATCTTCAGCCTATAACTGTTTGGAATACCTAAAATGGGGCTAGAACTTGCCCAGTGAAAGAGGCTTCCTGTGGAGCCTTTACAGTGCACAAGACCATAGGTGTAATCCAGAACCCCATCCAGAACTGACTGAGGTGGGAATTTTACACTGGAAAGGATGAGTAGACCAGCCTGGAGCGACTAGAAGAAAACAGAAGCTACTTCATGAAAGAAAGAGCAACAGGAAAAATCCGAAGCAATAATGCAGTCTGATTGATTACTACAAGAAGAAGTAAGCTGTTCACCCAGGAGCCATCAAGGCAAGTGGTCGGGACCCCTCATAGCAAACCCCTTTCATATATGGAGAAAAGCAAGTGCAAGACCCTGTCCAGAAAGGCAGTGACACTAGGGATAGAGGCAGAGGTGATGACATGGAAAGAAGGCGCAGCTGGGGAAATCAAATATTTTAATGAGATGGGAAAAGACCTGGAGTTAGAAAACCAAAAAGTAAGAACATGCTCAGCATTTCTCAAGGTGAAAGAACTGAATAAAAAAGCTCAAGCCTCAACTTACAATATTAAATGATTCTATGAGCAAAATATTGAATGATGCAGAAAGCATTAAAATAAGCTGGAAGAAATAACAGAGTCATTGTACCAAAAAGAAATGGTTGATGTTCAACCTTTTCAAGAAGTAGCATATGATCATGAACCAATGATACTGAAGGAAGAAGCCCAAGGTGCACTGAAGGCATTAAGAACTAGGCTCCGGGAATTGGCAGAATACAAACTGAAATCTTTCAACAAACTGATGCAGCACTGGAGGCACTCATTCATCCATGCCAAGAAATTTGGAAGACAGCTACCTTATCAACTGATTGGAAGAGATCCATAGTTGAGCCCATTCCAATGAGAGGTGAGCCAATGGAATGCAGAAATCATTGGACAATATCATTAATATTGTATGCAAATAAAATCTTACTAAAGATAATTAAAAAATGGCTGCAGCAGTACAGTGATCGGGAGCTGCCAGAGGTTCTCGCCAGATTCAGGTGGGATGTGAAGTGAGGGATATCACTGCTGATTTAAGATGGATCTTGGCTGAAGTCTGAGAACACTAGAAAAATATTTTTCTGTGCTTTACTGACTACGCAAAGACTTTCTATTGTGTGGCTCATGACAAGCTATGGACAACATTGTGGAGAATGAGTGTTTCTAAACATTTAATTATACTCATTAGGGACCAAGAGGTAGTTATTAGAACAGATAAAGGGGACACTGAATGGTTTAAAATTAAGAAAGGTGTGCACCACAGTTGTATTCTTTCACCATACTTATTCAATCTGTATGCTAAGCAAATAATTCAACAAGCTGGATTATATGAAGAACATGGCATCAGGATTGGAGGAAGACTCATTAACAACCTGGCATATGCAGATGATACAATCTTGCTTGCTGAAAGCAAAGAGGACTTAAATACTTACTGATGAAGATCAACGACCACAGCCTTCATAATGTAAAGAAAACATAAATCCTCCCAAACTGGACCAATAAATAACAGCAAGATGAATCGAAACGAGATTGAAGTTGGCAAAGACTTTATTTTGCTCCAATGAACTATCAATATTCATGGAAGCAGCGGTCAAGAAATCAAATGACATACTGTTATTAGGCAAATCTTTTGCACAAGACCTTTTTAAAGTGTTGAAGAGCAAAGATGTCAGTTTGAGGACTAAAGTGAGCCTGACCCCAGGCATGGTATTTTCAATAACCTCATATGCATGTGTAAGTTGGACAACAAATAAGGAAGACCGTAGAATAATTAATGCATTTGAGCTATGGTGTTGGAGGAGAATATTAAAAGTAACATGGACTGTGAGACAAACAAACATAGCTGCACTGGAAAATGTACAAGCGGAATGTTCCTTAGAAGCTTTAAAAGTCTCTCATACTTCAGATCAGTCCCTGGAGGAACCAGTTCTTCATGAAGGACATCACGTTTGGTAAAGTGGAGAGTCAGTGGACAAAAGGAAGATCCCCAACGAGGTGGATTAGCACAGAAGCAGTAGCAATGGGCTCAAGCATAGCAATGACTGTGAGATTGGTGCAGGACCAGGCAGTGTTTCATTCTCTTGTGCACAGGTCGCTATGTACCTTGAGTCGGTAATTAATTGTTTGGCAATGTAATTAATTGTTTGAATTTTATTTGAAATCTGAATCAGAAAGGTTTCCAGTTGTTAGCAAAGCATTTTGTGTTTAGTTGTCAATGAGTAAACAAAATGGAGTAAGACATTTTAATGAACAGAGGGACAACACATAGTACGTTTTGGCCGAAATCTGAAAGACACTACTGTCCAATGTTAAAGAACTTTAAAAGTGCTATGACATCATAAATATAAAGCAGCATAATACTGTTCCCTTACCATATCATGCCTTCAAACAGATTTTGGATGACAAGATGTGACTGAGTAACAGTTATCAGTAAAGTGACATGAGTCCATGCGAACTGTTAATAGCCGAACAACACAACAATTAGTGAACACAACTTATCAGTGCAGCTGAGGAAGCAATAGCAAATTTGAAACATGAATTTCTTGCATGACTTTTAGTCAAAATTTATAATATAAGGTCATACAAAATAAACGTAGTTAGTGAATTATATTCCTTTTGTTGCCTACCGGACCTTAAAATACTGGAAAAACATTTAAGAAAGTAATTTGAATTTGTATACAAATTAAAAGTTAGATAATACTGAGATATACCATTAATTAAAAAAACATTAAAGAATGAATTGTAATCTTGAAACACAGGGTTATTATGGCATTTGGAAAGAAACATTTTATTCTGGCTGTATTCTGTTGTTATTAAAAATGCCAAGAACAACATTTTTTCCCCCCAGAGCTCATTATGGAAACTTTTCTTATAAAGAGTTCTTTCTCATTTCAAATGATTAAAACCATCAGGATTCAATTGCCCTTAAACTCTACTTTGTAAACTTGAAAGTAGATCCTCACAGATCTACTCCATGATAGTATTCAATTTCAAATTTTCAAAGAACTCTGCATTTCATCAATTCCTTCTAACTTAGAACATGGCCACTTTGGTGTCTGCTAGCATCCTCCCTAGAAGTAACACTTGAACAAAGAGAAACCAACAAACAGTTCTAGGTACGAGTCTCACAATTCTGAATGGATTCTTTTTAAAACCAATAACTTCTCAAAGTCTTAAGATTTTGATTAATTCACAATTCATCTGTTTCCCATTTCAGCAACAATGTATTATTGGTATTTTCATTTCATTTTTTTTTTTTCTGCTTAAAAGATCCATTTCTCTTTAACCCTGGTTGCTTTAATGCATAATTATTTCATTCCAGGAGGCACCATTTATATTTTTACAGGAGACTCCGTTATTTCTACTTTATCCAGATTGTCTCTACATGTTCATTCAGAAGTTTACTCTACTGACAGACCCCTGGAAATGAGAAAAATAAGACAGACTACAATTTCCCAGTGGTAATACCCAGCAGGATAAAATGAAGAAAAGCAACAACATTAAAAAAATAGGAAATATATTCCAAATCTAGAACAGGTCTTACTAGAAATAAATTCAAAGAACAAGATAAATAATAATCTATAAAAATAAATAACGGTATTTTTAAAAAAAAAAAATGGTTGTACAGTCTTATAATTAGCAACTCGATGGCACCTAACAATAATCAGCATTGTTTTAAGGAAATAAGACAAGCACACCAAAAATTAGCACAGCAATAAATGTCATAAAGCATTAAAACTTAGATACATTAACAAAACCCCTATGCCAAGAAGAATTATGCAATTCTATGACTACTGTGACTACCAAGAAAATACATGCTTGCTCTGCTGTTTCAGGCTCATGCTAAGAGCTAGTAAACACAGCTACTTTCCATAGAAGAATATGGCTGGAAACCAATTGCTGTTGTTGTTAAATGCCATTGAGTCGGTTCTGACTCATAGCGACCCTGTATAGGGTTTCTGAGGAGCCGCTGGTGAGCTTGAACCACCGACCTTGCAGTTCAAATAGCTTTGCAGTCTGGTGTTCTAACCCACAGCACCAAACCAGGACCCTTCGATTTCCACAGATTTAGGGAAGTCAATTTTGCTTTACTTTCTTATACACCAAAAATACTCAAAAGAAAATGTTTCAGGGGAACTTTGGAGGGAAAAGTAAAAACTTTTTAAACTCCAGTGTTTTTTATTGAATGCGCATCCTAAAATTGTAAATTCCTCATATTTAGATAAGACATCAACTAGCAGATTTGACACTTTCTAACTTCAGAAAAGAAATGAAAGGGTTTCATTTCCGGTAATTTGTACAAAAGAATGATTAAAACACACCATATAAAACTGCAGACGATAATGTTTCTTCACCAAGCTCAATACAAACACGCAGAAACCTGTTCAAGAAAAAAAAAAAAAAAAGTGCTTGTTAGGCAATTTGGTACAAAGTGGAAGATTCACCAAGGCTAAATAAGTCAATTTCCTGTACCATATCTAATACATATGGCATATTTTAGCCGCCTACTCCTATGTCATCTCTCCTACATCCTTTGTGTTACTATTTTAAGTAAGTTTTTGGATGGAACGATCTATGTTCTCTGAAGTGCCTCATACATAAATGTCCTGACACAGATTCAATGAACATCATTCACTGAACTTCATTCATTCAATGAAGTCATCCCTTGCTAGCAGGTGAACATGGAGAAAGAGATCTTGAATTTCAGCGGAACAAAAATTTTCAAGTGTAAGTGTGGAATGTTTTCAATTTCTACATAATACAAAAAGCAAACAAATAACTACTCTTATGGCAGCTAACATTCACTGCCTACTACATTCTAGGCATCTTTTACATACATTAACTCATTTAATTCTTCCAACATTTCTGAGATGTAGATACCTTTTTTACCTTACATTTTGCAGATGTAAAGGCATTACTAATTTACTGAGAGACGTAGATAAGGTCAAGAATCCTATCAACTCTCAAAATCACATAGTCCTATAAACACATGTTAATTACATCAGCAAGATTTAGGTTAAGAGTCATTTGAAATTTCTCAGAACAGAATGATGTTAATTATAGTAAAATATAATTCTCTTGATTTCTAAATTTAAAAAACAGTACTTATGCTTGTATTTACATCTTACATATTTATTAGAATGAACATTCACTAAATAAAAATTGCTAACTTGTTAAGTGAAATCCAATAATCATATACTATAAAAACGGGAGGTAATATAAAGGAATTCTTGCTCAATAGGACTCATCAGTAAATGCTGAAAGAACGTGTTTTCCAGAGGTGGGTCTTGAAAATGCATGAATTAAGTTTAATTGCAGATAAACTGCCATACGTATGCATCATCCTATGTATGCATCCTATCCTGCAAATATTTAGAGAGTGAGCTCTTTGATATATAAATTAAACTGCCAACTGCTCTATCCCATAGAAACAAAATATTACACTTCATATCACTAATTTAAACTTACCAAAACCATTCTACCCACTAGAGTATTCAAGGATGCTACTATTCTCTCCAGAGCAAAGAATCAAACAGAAGTTACCTTTAACTGTCTTTTGATGACTGATTTGAAATGTCAAAGCATAAGGAAAAGAATTCATACTGACCCCAAGATACAATTCATCACCTATTTAGGGAATAAGAATAAACTGCCTGATGAACACAAGGCAAGATTGAACTGAAAGAGCAGTCTGTAAACTTGTTTTGAGTAAAGGCCCAAGTGAAAACTGAAATCACTGAGTATATAAAATAAAATCATGGCTTATCACAATAAAAAGTTTTAAAAAAAAATTACTGCTTTTATGATTTTCCTCTATAGCCTTACTCTTGTGGTCCAAGTGATAATGTAATTACTATAATTTTTTTTTTTTTGGTCATTGGTCCAGACAATACATAGGAATTGATTCTGAGTCTAATGGGAAAGGGCAAGGCAGACATATAAGAAGATGCTGTTAGAACTTATCATTCTATATCAACACAAATACTACTCCAAAATAGACACCTTTCTATTTCTTGAAATTATATAATACAGAGGTATTCAATATTTTCCAAATGGACATTTTATCCAGGATAGTCTTGACAACTCACTTTTTGTTTGTGTTGGTTTTTTCCCCTTGAGGACTTTGTCATTACTTCTTTGTAGTTGTCGAAAATACTCACTGGAAACACATTGATTCAACAGTTTCCACATGTGCAACTTAGTGACAAAGATAACATCCTCAAGCTACACAACCATTTTCACCTTCCTTTTCTGAGTTTATTCCTCTTTAATATAAACTCACTGCCTCCTGAGGTTCTTGTCTAATCTTTCCAGGTGCTATTGTAAATTTCATCCATGTAAACAGTTCTTAAGAGTTTCAGCCCATGGGAACAGTTCTTAAGAGAGTACAATGGGGGTGGGGGGGTCTTCTGACAAGATGGCAGACTAGGTAAACACACTACACAGACCCTCTACACCAAAGATGGAAAAGACAAAGTAAAATTGGCACAGATGAAAACTCTGGCATCCTGAAATTTAGAAGTAAGGTTAGAAAGATGGATGGAATGCCTGTTGGGAAGAGAGTTCAGCAGGGATCGTGAGGAAGGGAGACTGGCCGGTTAAAGACTGGTCACATGAGGTCAATCATCTTGTGAGCATCTAGTGAAGTGAGACATATCAAAAAGATGGAGAGAACCTAAATGCTCATCAACAGAAGAATAGTTAAACAAACTTTGGTACATACACACAGTGGAATATTATGAAACAGTAATGATGAATCTGTGAAATACCTCACAACAAGGTTGAACCTGAAGGACACGATGCTGAGTGAAATTAATTAATCATAAAAAGGACAAACATTATATGTTGTAAAAAGTTAAAGGTTTTCTTGATAAAAGAAACAATCTTTGATGGTTGAGGGGAAGGGAAAATTATTCATGGACTAGAGGGTAGACGCATGTTAACATGGTAGGCAATATACAACAAGAGGGCAGTTAGCAACGGAAAGATGAAGTGGGCGACACAGGAAGGAATGCAATAGTAGTTAATGTGAATAGAGGTAAACACTGTTAACTGCTGGTACAGGGAGGGAATTGTAACCATGGAGTGAAGTGAAGTATGACTCATAGTGACCATGGATAGGATTTCTGAGGCTGTAAATCTTCACAGGAGCAGAAAGCCTCATCTTTCTCCTGTGGAGCAGCTGGTAGTTTCAAACTGCTGACTGTGAGGTTAGCAGCCCAATTCATAACCACTACGCTACCAGAGCGCCTTGAAGTGAAATATATGGTTTGTTAAATGTAAAACCAATAATCTATTCTGTAAACTTTCACTCAATTCACAAAAAGCTAATAAATAAATAAAAGACCTTTTTTACTAGTTAAGCTTTTGTTTTGTTTTAGTACATTAAAATTATCACTCAGTTTAGGGGAATACTGTTGGTTTATGTTTTAAAGTTTACATCATAGTAATAGTTTCAAGGATTCATTAACTTCCATGGCTCCAGAAAATGAGTATTTGAAATTGTTCTGTATTATTAATATTTTGATCTGTCACTCCATCTCAGTGATGGTCTTCCTTCTCCAGACACTGATCTCTCCTGACATGTCTCCAAAGTACAAGAAACTAAATCTTGTCATCCTTGTTCTAAAGAGCATTTTGGCTGTACTTCTTCCTACATAGATTTGTTTGTTCTTCTGGCAGCTAATATTCAATATTCTCCAACACCATAATTCAAATATATGAATTCTTCTATGGTCTTCCTTATTCATTGCCCAACTTTCCAATGCTCATGAGGCAATTAAAAATACTAGTCCTCAAACTGACATCTTTGCTCTTTAACACTTTAATGAGGTCTTTTGCAACACAGGTGCCTAATGGAATACATCATTTGATTTCTTGACTGTTGCTTCCATGACTATTGATTGGGGATTTAAGCAAAATGAAGTCTTTGACAACTTCATTATTTTCCCCATTTATCATGATATTTATTGGTTCGTCCATTGCTGAGGTGTTTTTTTTTAACATTTGGATATAAAAAAATACTTCATCTGTAAGTATTTCAAATCCTCTTCACTTCTATCAAGCAAGGTTGTATCATCTGCATATTGCAGGTTATTAGTCTTCCTCCAAACCTGATGCCACTATCCTCTTCACATAATCCAACTTTTCTCATACTATTTGCTCAGCAAATAGTGTTTGCTCCCCTTTGGTTTACTAATTCCATATATTGCACATTTCATTATAATACTTGACTTTGTCTTCTCAGGCTACCCTTTGAATTCTTCTGTTCAGCTTTAACTTCCTCATTTTTTTTAAGTTGCTTTAGTTACTCTATATTCAAGAGCAAGTTTCAGAGTCTCTTAGGACATCTACTTTGGTCTTTTCTTTCTTTCTTGTCTTTTAAATGATTTTTTTGGGTTTTCTTCATGCATGGCGTTCTTGATGCCATCCCACAACTCCTGTGGTTTTCAGTCATTAGTGCCTAACACATCAAATCTATTCTAAATTAGGTGAGATATGCTGTCATATTTTGGCTCTTGTGGACTTGTTTTAATCTTCTTCAGCTTGGACTTGCATATGAGTAACTGATGGTCTCTTCCACAGTCATTATTTTGGCTGACAGGCCTTGTTTTGGCCGATGCTATTGAGCTTCTCCATCATCTCTTCCCACAGATGAAGTCAACTGGATTCCTGTGCATACCATTTGATGAGTTCCACGTGTATAATCACTGTTTATGTTGTTTAAAGAAAGGTATTTGAGACAAGTAAGTCATTGGTCTTGCAAAACTCTTTTATCATGTGATCTTCAGCATGGTTTCTATGACCTATGTCATATTCTCCAACTACCAATCCTTCTCTTTATTTCCAACTTTCTCATTCCAATCACCAGTAATTGTCGATGCATCTTGATTGCTTGTTTGATCCATTTCAGACTGAAGAAGGTGGCAGAATTCGTCAATTTCATCATCACTGGCTTTAGTGGTTGGTACAGAACTTTGAATAATAGTGGTATTAACTGCTCTTCCTTGTAAGCAAATGGATATTATCCTATTATAGTTAGTACTGTACATCAAGATAAATCTTGAAATGCTCCATTTGACAATGTGATGTCATTCCTCTTGAATTTGTCATTCCCGATACAGTAAACCATGCGAATGTGTGATTCAAAATGGCCTATAGTTGTCCATTTCAGCTCACTAAAGGCTAGGATATGGAGCCCTGGCGTAGTGCTGTAGGATAAGCATCCGACTGCAAGGTTGATTTGAACCAAAAGGCTGGCATTTCAAACTCACACAACTGTTCCTCTGAAACTCTATACAGGGTCACTATGAGTCGGAACCAACTCGACAGCACTTTACAACAACAATGCGTAGGGTGGAGCCCTGTATGGTGCTATAT